GAGGGAGAGCCAGGCAGAGCCCAGAAGGTCCCCGGGCAGGGACGGGACCAGAACCGCCGGTTTTCCCCCACGGCAGGGGAGGGGGGCTGCGTGGAGGAGAACAGGGTCTTGGCGTGTTTCGCACGGGTTCCTTCCTCCTGCCGTTGTTCTGCTGAGGAGGGGTGTGTGTGTGTGTGTATGTTTGTGCCCCCCTGCTTTAAAAGCATTTACTGTATAGGAAATGCTCCTGGCTTTCCATTTTTGTTACCTGGGCCAAGAAGCTGGTCAGAGGAGAGTGGACAGGATCCGGACACCAGCGTCACCCGTCCTGCATCTCCGAGAGAGGAATCTGGGATGAGCAAGAGACACACACTCCTGATTCGTAACGTGGGATGTTGGATTTCTGTGGGTTGCTTCTGGGGCACACTGGTCCCAGAGCTTGGAAAAATTAATTTTTGGGACTGCAGGTCCCTTCAGTGGCCAAGTGGGAATTTGAATTGAGTTGCCTCGGCCACCAATCTGTCTGACACATTAGCCACCCCGTCACAGTTTTTCCATCCATTACCTCTTTCCCAGTCTGGGAAAGATTTCCCTTTTTTTCCTTTTTTTTGGGGGGGGTGATACCTCGCAGAATCTGGGGGCAGTCATCTGAGAAGGTAGCCTTGCCAAACTCTGACGGCTCTGATGCCAACCATGTGCGGCCAGAACGGTGGATCTGGCCCCTGGCTTGTGTCGGTCAAGAGCCAAGCTACACATGAAGTGGAATGTGTTGCAGTGTTTTGAATTTTTGGTTAAATTCCTCTAGCTGAGCAGCAAAAGGGCAGGAATTCATGGAGGAGAACAGCATCAGGTCCCCCAGATTAGTCCAGTGCTGACTTACAGTCTCAATAAACTCACTCTGAGACATTAGTAAGAGAAAGATTAAAAAAACACATTTCATTACTAATTGAACAGATCGAGCAGCAAATTAGAGCAACTATCATTCCTTTCAGCAAAAGCTCCAGACGAAATGCTTCGGGGGGGGGGAAAGGCTCAGCCCGGAGAGGTGGGCTCTCTTTGAATTCAGAGGCAGGAGGGAACTGTCGGTTAGCGCCGTTAGCGACTGACCGTCCATCATCGCCCAGGCCCAGAAAGGTCCCTTCCGACCCTGCACTTGCTCCTGGAGGCACCAAGCAAGGTCACAAAAGCCCCAACAAAAAAGAAGGCAGGGCTGACTTTGGGGCTTTGCCGGGTCGTACCGTCCCTGGGGGGGGAAGGGGATTCTCTCTGCCCTCGACCTCCCGTTTTATAAAAGACACCTTGGCCTGTAAGAAAGGGGCAAGGGGGGGGGAAGGGGGTCCTTCGCTTCAAATGCCAAGCATTTCTGAGACGAAAGGAGCTTTTCTTTTTAAACGTAGCCGCCCCTCCGGCCACCCCGCCTGGAACAAAACACAGTCCATACTTCCGCCCACGTGCTCTGTCTGCAGAACTCCCAAATGGCCTGTTGGCTGCAGAAATACGGTACAGGAGGGTGGCTGGTGTGCCCTGACTGTAGGGAGAGGGCGGGGGGGGCGGGTCGAGACTGTGCTGTTCGTACGGTGCTGAAGGGAGCAAGGGTTGGGGGGGGGAGACACCCCAGCCAGCGAAGGCCCCTGGACGGAGTGCGTTCTTCCTGGCCTCCTCTACAACAGAGTCCAAGCGTTTGGGGGGGGGAGACACCCCAACCAGCGAAGGCCCCTGGACGGAGTGTGTTCTTCCTGGCCTCCTCTACAACAGAGTCATTTGAAAACAGTGTCTTTGGCTGGGAATAAAAACAGGCAAATGCAATACCTATATATACCCTGTTTTCCCCGAAAATCCCTAGTTCTGTATGATTTTTCAGGGGGCTCGTCATGTAAGCCCTACCCCAAAAATAAGCCCCAGTGAAGTGAAACCCTGCCCTCCACCCTTGTGCAGCAACCAGAAGACGAGGACAGGACTGTCTTTGAATCAATGTAGATGGTTGTACATGAAAAAAAATAATAATACATCCCCTGAAATATAAGCCCCAATGCATTTTTGGAGCAAAATTTAATATAAGACCCTGTCTTACTTTTGGGGAAACACGGTATCGGTGTTCTAGCCATCTTTAAAAATCCAGGACAAAGATCCATTAAAACGAAGCGCGTCGACCACCCGGCTGTCCTCTAAGGCTAAGCCACAGCGAGCAATTTAATTGAAACAGTCAATTAGGTAATTATGCCATCGAGGGAAAGAACGGATCATAGGAGGATATGTTTTTCTTGCCCGGGGGGAGGGGGGGCGGGCAGGAGGAAAGGTCCTTTTTTTATCGACCTTTGCACTGGTGGTGTTTGTGCTATATTGAGCCAGTGGTTGCACCTGAATATCCAGGGTGGACCCCCCAGAGTTGGGGATCTGCCCCACCCAGAGAGAGCGTAAAATGGATCCTCTGAACACAAACAGTCAGTTTTATGGTGTCGGCTGGACAAAATGGAGGAGCTTAATTATGGAAGATTCTGTACAGCGAGATCAGGGAGAGATTAGGGATGGAAAGGCTCCGTCATTTCCTCAATATATAATATGCCTTTCTCTGCGAACTGATAGGAAAACGATGGCAACCGTCCTTATAGATGGTATCTAATGCCTTTAATTTAGATGATGGATGAGTCTTGGAAATGTAATTATGCTGGGCGGATTTTATAGGCTAAGCTCACGCTGCAGCGATGGAAGGGTGAAGGGAACCCGCTCGTCTTGGAAGTGCCAAAATAAGGCTTTCCTTGCTGATGCTGCTGGATATTTACGCACGTTCTGTTCTTAACGTCGCTGTTCTATTTCTCATTTTTGATGTTAAGGACATGAAACGCGGCAACAGCACAGAACAAAGCTATTGTGCGGCTACCTGGAAATTGTGATAATGTTGTTAAGTCCAGATTTTGCTGGGAGGGAAACGGTCCAACAGACGCCAGAAAGCAAAGTCTGCTGTTTCTGTACCTCCCTGTAGTGCTTAAAGCACTCCATTTTTATTTATTGATTGATTTGATTTGATTTATACCCCACCCATCTGGCCTAAAAGGCCACTCTAGGCGGCTTTTAATAATGGAGGCTATACTGTACGTTGTTCCCCTCCACACCAGAGAGCTGGGAGCTCTGTTTAACACCCTCTGGAGGATGGGAGGCTGAGTCGACCTCAGTCCGGCTACCTGAAACTTGCAGGGACCGAACTCAGGTGGTGAGCAGAGTCTTGACCACAGGACTGCAGTTTAACCACCGTGCCTCTCCTCCCCCTCCAAAAAACACAAGGACACGAGAGATTAAAAATTGCAGTGGGCATGAGGATTCAAGGAGAGTGAGCACCTTCTTGCTCGTTTTTAGGAAAACCTGAATCCCACCTGGCCTGACTCTACATGCTGACTCTCCCCACCCCCTTCTGTGGGACGTGGACGGTCAGGTGAGACCCTTTGGCCCAGTGATAGCAGCCAAGCCGCGAAAAGGAGAAAGGCGGGAGGCCCTCGGCACTGCCGATTGCGGGTGAATCGGTTTTGTGAAGGCGGGAGCGTATTGGCGTCGTTGGGTGGGCCAATGGTTTGAGAAAGCACGTTTTCGTTTTCAAGCTGGGAGCTCTGTTTTTTGCTTCGTCCGGTCTGTCGACCCTGGGGAGAGGGTTGATCTTTTTCATCAAGGGTTGGCTTGGCCTGTTCAGGCCCTCGCTTCCCAGTGAGAAAAACACACACACACACAGGAGCAAACCCCCGTCTGGGTCATTAAAGAAATGACCCTTATTCGTTACAAAGGGAAATACACAGGGAAAAATCAGAGCCTGGGAAAGTTATTGTCCTGGATTAGGACTTCTAAAGTCCTGCATCCCCCGGGTGGGGGGGCTGAGCATGGTGGTTGGAGGGGCTGCTGTCTGAAAAAGTGTAAAGGGCGGTCGGTCGTTGCCAGCCGGAGATCGGTGGGAGAGATGCCAAGCGCTGCGCCCACGGGACCTCCCTGCCCTCTGGTGTCTAAAGAGGTCACGGCCGTGCGAGTCTGTCCTGCTGCTCATCCCTTAATTCCCGGGGTCTGTGGACGGCCACTCCTGGAAACCTTTTCTCCCTCACGAGGAGGGCCCCCTCCCCGGCAGAGGTGCGCCTGGGTCTTCCTCAGAGGGTCGAGGAAGGGCTCCGATCCTCCCTTCTGGCTTCCTCGTTGCTGCAGGTGATGTTCGAGGACGTGGCCGTGTATTTCACGCGGGGCGAGTGGAAGGCGCTGTCAGAGTGGCAGAAGGACCTCTACCGCGCGGTGATGGTGGAGAACTACGAGGCGGTGGCCTCCTCAGGTAAGTAAGGGTCTCGCTTATCCCGTTGCCGGGAGGTCCCCACAAGGAGGGGGGGACAGGGCCTGAGGGGGGGCGCGGGGGCTGCCAGAGCCCACTCTTCAACATCTGGAAGGTTGCATCTGCATTCCTCTTTTGGCCTTTTTAATGTTACATCTGCAAAAAGAACCTTTTTAAAAAAAGAAAAGAGCTTTGGAGGGTGCTTTGAGGGGCCGGGGGGGGCATTTCCTCTGGGACAAGTGGAAGTGTTTCGGGGGGCGGGAAGGCTATGAGATCTGAGCAGAAATGGCTTCCGCCCAGACCTCTCTGATTTGGGAACCGCGTGTGGGTCCCCAGAGGAAGGGGAGGGAAAGCCGAGTGAGCCCTCTGGGAGAAACAACAGGGGTGAAATTCATGCTTTTTGGAGGGTGGGCCTCTCATCTGCCGCCCCCTCCCTCGCCATTTCGCAAGGTATGGGCAGAGCTGTACAACACGGCTGTCCAGCCAGTGGGGAGAGGGAAGAAAAAGTTGCGGGGGGGGGAGCCTCTGAGGTCCGAAAAGAAGCAGAGACAGAATCCGAAGCCAACCCTGCTGAACCGCTGGCATCGGAGGAGGTCTGGGGTCAAGCTGAGGTGCTCCCGGGCGGGGTCAGAGCGTTCCCCTTCCGCGCCGCGCCTGGGATGGGCTCGGCACGCGAGGGGTGCTCTAGGCCGGCTCGCTCTCCTCCCACGACAGGCGGTCCCTCCGTCAAGCCCAAGCTGATCTGCAGAATAGAGAGAGACGAGGACCCTTCCGTGGACGAGACCCCCGAGGCCCCCCTGCGGAAGAGGCCCCAGAGCCCCTGGTTGGGTGAGTCGGTCGCTGGAGGGGGGGCAAAGGACCCTGGCGTCCCCCTCCCCTGCGAGTCACAGAGGAGGCGCTTTTCTCCCGGATGGAGAGAAGAGGGCCAGAGGGGCTTGGCCTTTGTGGGGGGGGGTGTAAATGGCATCCTGCAAAAGGTTCCACATTCTCAGAGAGCGCTGGGTGGGCGGGCGGATGGGTGTCTGTCTAGAGCGTCTGTTTTCCTTCCGTTGCCTCAAAGCACAGCACTTAGAAAAATGCATCTTCCGATGGACAGTGCCATCTCCCCAGGTGGGGGCTTTGGGGCTTAACACCGCCTTTTCTGCTGTTGATCTGTCTGCTGGAGGATTAGACAGACTCTCCAGCATCTCAGGTGGGTGGAGGGGCGGGGGGGGTTCTCTGTCACCTGCTGAGGTGCCAAGCTTGGGGTTTGAACCCCAGTCCCCAGAATCCCCTAGTCCTTAATGGCTCCTGGCCCTCCTTCTCCAGAAATTCCAGGAGCTGGAATGTCTTGAAAACGGGCATTTCCCTCCTCAGTCCCCATCTGCTTCCGGAGGTCTCAGGCGGCCCCCTTCTGGGGCTTTCTGTGGGCCTGAAAGTGCCCAGGTCGCAGCAGGGCGTTGGAAGGTGCCTGCCTCGGTGGGGGAGCCGTCCCCTCCCACGAAAGGAACTCCTCCAGGCTCTTGCTTGGTCAGGGGGGCACCTCTGCCTGCCTGCCTCCCTGCCTGCCCCGGGCGACCCCTTTATGGTGGATCTGGGGCTCTTCCCCAGTCCGTGATGGCCGGCCTTTCTCTTTCTTTCCTTCCCCCCAGCAGGAGATGGAATCAGGATAGAAGAGGAGGCAGAAGGCGAAGGGCCCGGCCCCATCCGGCCACCCAAAGCCCGGCGCGGGAGGAAGAAGAGAGGCCGCCCTCCCGGGACCGAGACGCCGGCCACCTGGGCGCCGCCTGAGCCCGAGGAGGAGGAGGAGGAGGAGGGCGGCCCCCCACGGATGCCGCTGAAGAGGAACCCCCCCAAGTGCCCGGAGTGCGGGAAGAGCTTCCTCAGCAACGTGGCCATGACCATCCACATCCGGACCCACACGGGGGAGCGCCCCTTCCGGTGCCACCTCTGCCCCAAGGGCTTCCCCTCCATGGGGGACCTCAAGCGCCACCTCAAGACCCACCTGCGCCCGAAGGAGCCCCCGCCCCCGCCGGGCGAGGGCGGCGCCGCTGCAGGTGCCCCAAAGGCGAAGAAGTGCCTCACGGCCAAGCTGCAGCTCCTGCGGCAGTTGGGGGCCGCCCCGGGCCCCAGGAAGCCCCACACGTGCGCCCAGTGCGGGAAGAGCTTCAACAAGAAGCAGGACCTGCGGAAGCACGAGGGGACCCACTCGACCGAGCGGCCCTTCGCCTGCCTGGAGTGCGGCCGCAGCTTCCGGCTCAAGCAGATCCTGGTGGCGCACCTGAAGGTGCACGTGGGCGAGCGCCCCTTCGCCTGCCACCAGTGCGGGAAGCGCTTCAGCCAGAAGCACCACGTGGAGAGCCACCAGCGCGTGCACACGGGCGAGAAGCCCTTCGCCTGCTCCACCTGCGGGAAGCGCTACGCCCAGAAGCAGCCCCTCATCAGCCACCTGCGGGTCCACACGGGCGAGCGGCCCTACGCCTGCGCCGAGTGCGGCAAGACCTTCCGGGACAAGGCCACCCTGACCATCCACAACCGCATGCACACCGGGGAGCGCCCCTACCGCTGCCTGCTCTGCGGCAAGGCCTGCAGCCAGCTCCAGCACCTCAAGAGCCACCAGCGGGTCCACCGCGGCGAGCAGCACCTCCTAGCAGCCGGCGACGCCAAGGCCCTGGCCCTCAAGAGGGCCCGCGAGATGCAGGAGAAGCCCTTCCCGTGCCCCAGGTGCGAGAAGCGCTTCCGGGACGAGAAGATCATGCAGACCCATCTGAAGACCCACGAGGAGGACCCGCCGGCCAAATTCGCGGACCTTCCGAGCCAAGGGAGCCCGCCCGGAGGAGGACCCGCCGACCAAATTCGCGGACCTTCCGAGCGGAGGAAGCCCGCCTGCCCCAGACCGACCCCCTCTTTGGGCCCTGCCGAAGAAGGCGTCGCCAGCCAAGCCCAAGTCCAGGGGCGGAGGGACCGGGGCGCCTGAGAAGCCGCCTGCGGCTGGCCGCCGGGGCCGCCCACCCAAGAAGAAAAGGTCCGTGGCCTGTCCTGATTGCGGGAGGAAATTCACGCAGGCCAAGTATCTCACCATGCATCGGAAGAGCCACACGTGACCAGCCCCTGGCACTTCAGGCGGGAGAACGCGGGGGTGCCGCAAAGGGCATCTGCAGGAGCAGAAGCTCCGCTTGGAGCACCTCGTGGTCTGAGTTGCGGGACGTCGTCTTCTGAGTTACACGGCACTCTTGGGGCAACAGCCGCGTTGCTTCTGGCAGTAGCCGTCCAGAAAAGCAGCCGTTCCGGAGGCCTGGGGAGAATCTTCCTTGGGGTCCTTTTCCTGCCTGGCATCCCGGCAAGAACGTTTTCCTGGAAGGCAGGAGGATCCACCTCCCAAAGTCCCTGCTCAGCTGTGAAACTCATCGGATGGCCTGGAGCCCCATCGTCACCCTCCCTCCCTCAGCCTAGGCCCTCCCTCGCAGGGTTGTTGTGAGGCTGAGGTGCAGAAGAGGAGAATCCTGAGCTGGAAATATAAATGGTGTGGTATGTGAAAGAAACAGTTAAGCGGGAAGGAAAAAGGGTTTTTTCTTCTTCTTATGAATTATTCATGAATTTTTAAAAAATGATAATAATCTTTCACAATCCCATTTATATTTCTTGCTGTCCCCGCTCTGAACCCCTGAAGAAGGTTTCTGGACGGCTTTGTGTCCTGCATTTACAGCAGCTGTTTTGAACGAAGGGATGGTCTTCCGGCAATGACCCGGGGGGGCCGTGAGCCTCAGGGGGGCCACGGAGTCCACCGGTGGGGGACGCGACTGCCCCCTCATTCCTGCCCCATCAGCAGGGGCTGATGTTGGAGGGCTGCGGTTCAGCCATCTCCAGAGGCTCTCGCATGCACGCACGCCCATCCCTCTTTGAGCCTCACCCAGGGCGGCTGTTTTAGACACCCGGTTCCTAGTCATTAGGTGTTTGGGTCGTTAGATTCCCCCGTTGCCCCGAGGAAGCCAGAGGGTGATGAGCTGGTCAGAAGTCTGTTTGGAGGAGGAGCATTTGCATGCATATCAAAGAGGCATTTCTCATGTATTATCCCACTAAAACTGTATGAACGGGTAGTGGGGGGGGTCACGCAGGGCTCCCCCCAGAGAGTATCCTGCACAGCATTGTAGCGCAGGACTAGGCCCTGTGCATCAGGGTTGATGTTGTGCCAGGCACTCAGAAGGCGTTGGGCTCTTCTTCATGGGAGGATTTAAGAGAGAAGTTGGACGACCCTTTTCCAGGGGGGTTGTTTTAGTTATGGGTCTCCTGCTTTGGTGGCGGGGGGCAGGGTGGGAGAATGACTTGATGGCTAGAGGGGCCCCTTCCGCCTCTGGTGTTCCATGATTCTGTGATCTCCAGTGCAGATGATGTCAGTCTGCTGGGGAGACTAGAAATGCTGCAGACCTTCGGTAGGATCATGGCCTTCGTCACCCCTGATGTTATAAAACCATTTCTTCTCCAAGCTGTAAGGGTGCCCTGGTTTGGGGATAACTGGTGTCCCCGGCTGACCGCCTCCTACCTTTATCCAAAAAAAGAACCGGTTGGGTGGATTAACACACAACCGTCCTGGTTTGCCTCCAGCCTTGATAGCATTTGCTTTCTGGATGGAGTGTGTAGGGGGTTGATTTTTTGCAAGCTGATTTTTTTTTTCCGCAGTCCTGTAAAACTCACCATCTCATCAAGAATCCCACGCCCACGATTTCTGACGTACCCAAGCCGGGCTCTGCTGCCCTTCTGCTCAGGCCAAACCTCTTCGGACCAAAGGCGCAGAGTTCCACCCAGGTCCAGGCTGGCTCCAGCCTTCACGTCTGGCATGAATTTGCAGCCATGGGAGTTTATAAGACTCAGGGCAGTCTCATGCCGTGGGCCCTGCTGTGATGATGTCCAGGAAGGATGCTGCCAGCGAGAACTCAATGCAGGGACAGCTCAGTTGGGGTAGAGCCCTCGGCTGTGACACTTGAGTGTCCTCCTCATGAGACAGCATAGTTTTTTGGTTCTTTCCACCACCGCCCTCGAAAAATGGGGTGGAAGACCTCAGGTGACTCAGCCCCATGGGCCAGTCCTATTCCCTCAGGCAGGCCTTCCTCGCAGGGCTGCTGAGAGGGGGGAAACGGGAAGGAGGAGAGCCACTGACATAAACTCTGAAAGGAAAATAATAAATAATGGTGTACTCTCCCTCACAGTGACCCTGGACGGAGTTTTCCGGGGAGAGAGTCCTCAGAAGTGCTTGGCCCCTTCCCTTCCTCTAAGGGGCATTTCTGGGACGGTGCAGCTGGCCCAAGGCCACCCGGGCTGGCCCTGCTCCCAAGAGGCACACAGTGGGGGGACTCGAACTCCCAACCTCTGGCTCCACAGCCAGAGACCTTCACTCACCGAGCTCTCAGCCGGCAAAAGTTTGAGGGGATTTGAAAGCCAGGCGTCCCTTGAACGTTGCTCTTTGAGGTTGCTCTGATATCTATGCGGGAAACGTTCTGCTTTTGCAGCAGCCCCCAGAAAGCTTCTGCCAGCCTTCTGGGTGTTGTTGTCCAGGGCCCTTGCCCCCCCCCCAAACGGGGCTGATCCTCCTCTTGTGCTGCGGCTCCTGTGACCTCACCCTCATTTTTCTTATTCACCGACTCTTCTCTCAAGAGAACATTTCTGCCCACATGGAGAAAAAAATACCACATGGAGAAATTAGTCCCTCTCTGTCTTGCTTTCGTGACCCTCCGAGAGCGTCTGGTTTCTTTTGTTTGGTAACGTTGCTTTCTGCGTCATGGGAGGAAGCCGCATTTAATAAAGTCCGGATTTCAACCGAGGCCCAGTCTTGTCCGTTTTCCTCCTGGTGGGCAGGAGGACGGGGGAGATGCCTCTCTTGCACCAGGGACCGGGGGGGGGGGCTCCTGCAAGAGAGATCAGGGCAGTTCCTCTCTGGTGGGTGGAGGACGTGCTACAGAAATCCCCCCCTGCTGCCTCCCCGTTTCTCCCAAGGAAAGCAGGCCCCCTTGGAGCTTGTTTGAAGAACAGGGGTCAGGAGGTGCCCCCCCAACCCCCTGGTCCCGCTGTAAAGGCACCACTGCGGAGGAATGGAGCCAGATGCGTTTCGCTCGCAGACGGTTGTTGCGGGTTCCTTCCCCGGCAGCATCTCCAGTTTGGATCAACCAGGCCAGTCTCCTGGCCCCAAAGAGCCCATGGGGGGGGTGATGCTCTGTGGCAGCCGGCTGAGCCCTGGGCAGGCGGGGGGGGCAGGAAGGCAGCTGCTGTGTTCCCAACACACGTCCCTCTGGAATTGCACATCTGGCCCCTCTCCCTCCGGCTTGTATTAGCCTCTTGAAAACAGATGCTACTGGCAAGGTGGGGAGATGTATTTTTGTCCCTCTGCTTGTTTATGATGCCTGAAAACCTTTGAAATCCACAAGCTCCTGGAAAGAGTTTGGGGATTTGCCTTGGGGTTGGAGGTGCAAGTGAGCCGGGAATCAACAAGAACACAACAGGGATGTGTATAGCACCGTTTCAGATGGAGAGGCAGCAAGACCGAAGGAGGAAGCGGATCCTTCTCTCTGCATCATCAGGACCCAGAGAAAAATGTGTGCGTTTGGGACAGGGAGCTTCCTAGGTTTCAATTGTATGTCAAAGCTGCTCTTGGGGCAAAGTCACAACAAAGACAACGCAGGCGGGATGTTCAGCTAAAGCCTAAGGTTGGGGTCACCCCGACTGCCATCAAGAGCAACAGAGGGGGGGGGAGACAGGAGGGCTAACTTACTGCCATGCCTGCAATGGGCGTCTGCAGTAAGGAAGGAAAGACAACAGGAAAAATTGGGCAGTGGGGAGAGGCGTGTGCAAAGAGGCAGGATTCTGTTGTTTCTGGTGCAGCAGCTGACCGGCTAACTCGTCCTGAAGGGGCAGACACGTGTCTGGACCCACATAAAAGTTCCACGAACAGGCAGCCAGAGTCCACAAGAGAAGCCTCATCTGGAAGCATTTCCACTTCAAGCCATGTCAGACCTTTAAAATGTTTTGATGAGGAAGTTGACGTGAGAGAGGTGCAGGAAACCCTGGTTGGGGGGGGGGAAGCCCTCCAAGCTCCAGGAGGGGGGCAAAAGCGATCCTTGGCACTTGAGGGGTAAGCGTCTGTTGGGAGCAGAGCCCACGCCTGCTGAGATACAAAGCCTGATTTCAGTTGTGTTGCAATTGTGTTTTATGCACAGGTACAAAAACAGAAACACCCACACACCCTTCTGCATAGATTAAGATACTAACATTTTATTGGTTACCAGTCGGTTTGGGTATTTACATCCTTTACGAATTAGTTCACAGAGGGATGAGGTTAGAGAGTCTCTGTGCAGGGCTGGAAAGTGACACGTGGCCCAAGGTCACAGAATCGGTGTCCGAGAACTACTACTGCCCAAACGGGTTCCGCTTCTACTTGTGACAACGCATGGGTTACTCTTTAAGGAAGTGCTTCTGGTTCTTCAGTCTCACATGATCAAAAAAATCATTTTGGGCTTGTGTTTTTGGATGTTCTGACGGCTGCGGCAGGGCTAACTAACCAGGGAATTCTGGCAGATGCAGTCCCCAAGGAAGTAACTTTTTTTTTCTGGGACGTCTTGGCTTCTCCTCCTCCAGGACAGAAAGTCAGCGACCAGATTCTGCCTGTCCAGCAGAGCAATGGATGTCTTTGAGGGAACAAAACAAAAAAGAATGCCAGCTATACAGGGACAAAGGCGACCTGCAGCCGGTTCCCACCAAGGCCACCCACACAGGGCTGGAGGCATCGCTCTGGGCTTCTGGCTCTCTTGTGGGCAGGTGGGCCTTGGGACCTCACAGCGCCTTCGGCTGGACTGGTGGCCCGTGCCACGCTGCTGGGACCGTCCGGCGGTGGGTGGTGTCCGCTCAGCTGCCCCTTAACCTGTATAAAATGCAGCGAAACGTGGCTCCAGCGGGTGGGGGGAGGACAGCTGACAACCTGCCTGCCCCCGTTTGCCAAGACAGCCTTCCTGTCGCAGGGCAGCTGACATGGATTTGATGCCAGGGGATCATGGATGATGTTACGGCTTTTGGACTACAGCACCCAGAACCTCCCAACCAGTGTTGGTCGATGGCCAGCTGCTGGCCATCTTGGCTGAGGAATTCTGAGAGCTGTAATCCAAAAAAGAAAAGAAAAGAAAAAGTAACTTCCACCTAGACCAGTTTCTGGCCAGGACCTTCCCTACAACAGCAGAGAGAAGGACCCGGAGGGTCTTGAAACCAAAGCCGCCTACTTGGAAGCCCCTCGGTGCCCTGCTCCGGTGGGGATGGTGGGCATTTCCGTTCAACCTCTATCTGGAAGCCCACAGGCTGGGCAAAGGGGGCACTTCAGCTGGGTCCCAAAAATCTTTTCTTTGTCCCGGAAGACCATGAGACGTTTGGCGCAGACGCTCCATCCAGCGCGGCGCCTCTTCTGGCATGTTTTCAGTCCAGGGTGGCGGGGTCTCGTCTTCAGGCCATGCCCAGCATCTCTCAAAGACCATCATCCGCTGCACAGACGAGGGAGGGAAAGAGAAAATGATGCACTGGGCCTTCCCCTAAACAGCCACACGTCCTTGTGTCCTGGCTCGGAGTCATTCTTGGTTCAAACCCTCGGCCCTTGAAGCCGGCCTGCTCGCGAGCAACATCTCGTGAACCACGTCCTCCAGGTTGTAGAAGGCCTGGAACGTGGCCAAGGGCACAGAGTGGCACTCCAAATAGCGCCGGAGTTTGGCTAGACTCGCGGTGACTTCTGCCTGGGTGGGGCAGGGGGGCAGAGGCAGGCCCTCGGCCTTTGCAACCGTCTCGCCCTTTTCCTCCTCCTCCTCCTCCTCTTTTGCTGTGGTGCAGATCCTTTCCGAGGCCCACGGGCCCTTCTTGGCCATCCGGGCACCGTCCTGGTCGCCAAAGCAGGCCAGCCCATCATCCACCAGCGCAAACTGCTGAAATTGCTCCTGGCTCTGGAACCCGAGGGCTTGGACCAGCTCTGTGGGAGGGGTCGGGAAGGGAGGGGTCAAGCTGAAGCCGGCGGCGTGGAAGCAGCTCGTGATGGTCTGTGGGCAAACCTCTGACCAAGCTTGCACCACCAGGTGAAGAGCATCCCAAAGGCTCAGGTGCTCCGAGAGTTTGCTGGTCAACCTGGAGGAGGCCTTCCCTTTGAGCCCAGCGAGGAGGCGGATGAGCATCCTCCTCCGGTAATGGCACTTGAAGCTCTGGATCACCCCTTGCTCCAGAGGGTGGTGCCGGGAAGGGCGAAGGGGCAGGAACACCATCCGGACGTTGGAGAGCTCCGTCGGAGGATGCGCAGCGCACGGGACCAAGCAAAGGGCCACGCTCCTCCCCTGGCGCTGCATCTCGGCGTTGAAGGTCCAAAGCCACTCGGTGAAGATGGTGGCCGTCATCCATGCCTTGGGGCTGGCTTTGTAGGCGGCCGGCGGAGACTCCTGCCCCCCGGTCCTGGGGAAGCCGAATGGCTTCGGGGTCTTCCCGACGACAAGGACCTCCCGTTTATCGGAGGCGTCCATGTTGGAGCAGATCAGGACCGTCAGCTGGTCCTCTCTCCTCTCCTGGGCCAGATCCCCTGGGGTGGCTCTGAAGAGGAGGCCCACCTCCCCACAGGTGTAAATGTTGGGGGGCTCGTATTTGCTCATGACACCGGGGAGGAGCGTGCTTTCCCAGGGCTCCTCCCCCACCGGCTCGCCACTCTCCTTTCCAGCTGAATGTCGTTCCCACCCAACCCGCATTGGCTTTGCTTTGAAGCTGCTCGGCCGACCCCGCCCGGGATCCCCCTCCGGCCGCTCCCTCCCCTCCGACGGATGCCCGGCCGTGTCTTGCACAAGCATCCCCTCGGTGGAGACGCAGCTGCGCTGGAACCACTGCAAAAGAGCCGCGTCGCTGGGCGGGCCCTTGTCCTCCAGCTTGCGCTTGCGGCCCGGGTTGGCGTTCTTGCACCACTCGGCGAGGATCCGCTCTTTGTTCTTGATGATGCGGCAGATCTGGGGCTGGGAGACGCCAAACCGCTTGGCCAGCTCGCTCTGGGACACCTTTGGGCCTTCCAGCATCTCCAGCACCCGGACTTTCTCTTGCAGGGAGAGCTCTTTCCGCTCCTTCCTCGGGACGACGGTCTCGCTCGAGGCGAAAGGCGGAATCCTCCTCCGGCAGCCGGCGGCGTGAAAGGCGTTCCCGGCGGTGCACCTCCCCTGGCCCGCGACGAGGGCCACGTGCTCCAGAAAGCTCCTCCCGCAGTCCCCGCAGATGTACGAGCAGGGCCCGGCGTGGTGGAGCTGGTGCTTTTCGAGCTCTGCCTTCTGCCCAAAGTTCTTCCCACACTCCAGGCACCAGTGAGGCATCTCGCCCACCGGGGCCCTGCACATCCCAAAGGTCGGGGCGCTCGGACCTTGCCCCAAACGGTGGTCCATCTGCTGCTGCTCCTCCTCCTCCTCGCCGGCTGTTTCCCCGACGAACGGTGGTCCATCTGCTGCTCCTCCTCCTCCTCCTCGCCGGCTGTTTCCCCATCTCCCTTTTCCGCTTCGGAGGGGTTCCACCCGGATCCCGGAGAATGGAGCCCATCTTCCACTCCCTTCCCAGGCGAGGCACGGACATCGTCCTTTCCCTGTGGATTCATCTGCAGCAGCTCCTCTTCTTCCTTAACTCTTTTCCCACGCTTCTTCTCTCCTAGACCAACAACAAAAACAGAGAGGCAGGGCAGGGAAACGGGAAAGGTTAATGGGACGGCCAGTTAGAAGCAAAGGCGTCCTAGAAATGTCGTTCCTCTGAAATGCCTCGCCCAGAACCCTGCAATGGCTGTGGTTACAAATCCAGGGGATGCTCCTGTCTGCAGATTCCCACCCGCCCCCACCCCTCCACCCCAAAAGAGGCTTTTCTCTGCCCTCTGGAATTCATGGCAGGCTTCCTGTGAATTCCCTGGCCTTGGGGTCTGGCCTCAAAACCCTCCGGAATGGGAGGCCAGCCACCTGGAACCAGAAGAGCTCTTTCCCCCTCCAGGGATCCAGGCGCTCCCCTGGGTGAAAAGGGTGGCCGATTTTCCCTTCTTTGGCTAAGTTGGGTCCCCCAGCGCTGCCGCAACCTTCCTTTCTCAGGTTAAAGCACCGCAGGGGCCGCTCTCTCCAACCCAAAACAGCACGGATACTAAGAGGAGGGAATAAAAACAAAGCCGCCCTTGGCAAAGCAAAGGAATTTAATAAAAAAAACCCTCCCCTTTTCCAGGACAAATCACGCCCTGGGACGGTCCGACGACGGGGGCCAAGTCACAACCCAGAGCAGGCTAGCCCAACCCAAGCCGGCGCTGTTGGATTACATCTCCCAGCATCCCCCAACCAGCTCACCTGTGGGGCTCCTGGCCGGGGAGGGCGGTGGGAGTCCGCCTCTTAACCTGGAGGGAGGCTGGGCTGGGC